TGCGGAGGATGCCATCCATAAAATTTACTTGCTGTGGCCCAAGGATTACGCCCCTCCCCACAAGCCCTTTCCCCCAATCTTCGTTCTAAGATTGCTGATGTCCTTGCCCTTCAGTTCCCCCATCCATATCCCCGTGTTGTAGGTGAACCTGAGGTCACCAGGTCGTGTCTGGGACCTCTCCCCGGGCTGGGACCGCTCCCCACCGGCCGGACCTGTGTCTGATCTACGGTATGTAATCAGCCCGGTTTATCTGCGGTCCTGTGGTCTTCTGGCCGAGGGTTTAGTATAAATCACTTGAACACCCGGTGAAGACAAGTTGTCGGAAGTGGGAACACGCTGGTTCAGGAGTGTGGAGTTTTTCCGTGCTCACCTCGGCTAACCTGGAATCCAGGCTGCTTCAAGGGCAAACTATAGCCTCTACCAGGCTTCGGAAGCGACTGACTTGAACACCCGGTGCAGGCCAAGTTGTCGGAAGTGGGAACACGCTGGTTCAGGAGTGTAGAGTTTTTCCGTGCTCACTTCGGCTAACCTGGAATCCAGGCTGCTTCAAGGGCTTATATTAGCCTCTACCGGGCTTCGGAAGCGGCTGACTTGAAGACACGGTGAAGACAAGTTGTCGGAAGTGGGAACACGCTGATTCAGGAGTACGGAGATTTTCCGTGGTCACTTAGCCTAACCTCGAATCCAGGCTGCTTCATTTGCAAACCATAGCCTCTACCAGGCTTCGGACGCGGCTGGAAAGAGTAGAAATTGGCCAAATAAACAGATAACGTACCGTTTGATCGTAGCAATCTCCAACAGGCTTCGCGAGGCGGCAAATACTCCTTTAGCAGACCAACTCCACTGGCATGTGTCTTTTGACCGATTTCTACTCTTTTCAGCCGCTCCCAAAGCCTGGTAGAGGCTAGGCTCTAGGGCCAACATGCCCCAAAGGAAATTTGACTGAGATATGCGCTCCAAGGTCTGTTTAGCTCTGCAATCGAATATTATCTCCTAATATATACTATAGATATAACGTCACATAGGTAAATATATATTAGCAAATTTTGGCTATTAGATGTACCTATGCTAGCCTCAATTGTTTAGTGAGTAGAATTCTATGATTTTGTATTTCTGTTTCAAAGCTTTATCTTTGGAGATCAGCCATAGGAATGACGTGTTGTAGAAAACAAGTCAACACGTACCGGACAAATCGCGGGTTCGTTATTTGCACACTGACAGGACTTGTATGGGTGTTTGTCCTCGTTTGAATTTTCAATACAGTTCCGATGTCAAACCACGTCTGTCTAACCATCAGGGACGTCAATTAAGTATTGATTTTGATTAATTAGCATTTCACCTGTTAAAGTCATCCAATGCAGTTTTTAGGGCTTGAGAACCCGAATTTTCAAAGTCAACATTCTAGTCATACTGAGTTGAAACAACATTGTCCCAATGTATATTGACCCTCATGGAGCAAAAATATCAAAAATTCTGACGGAAAATGGTTACTGGAAGGGCCCTTGGCTGATTTTTAGGGTACCACCCAGAAAATAAAGGACTAATCTTGGAGCTTGTTTCTGCAGTTTTAAATGCCCAGAGTATGAAATACTGTTTCAACTGTGCTAATTTTGTGTCCCCCTTGGATCTGCTTGGAGATTACACTTTTACAACATGCCAAGAATGATGGGTAAACCGTAATCTCCAAGCAGATCCTAGGGTGGCAAAAGACGGTATCAAATTGGCCAAGGGTGGCGTATTGGACCCTCTCTGGCCAATGGATACTGTCTGGTCAATTTTATACTGTCCTTTTCCACCCTAGGATCTGCTTGGAGATTAGGTAAACTGTTCGGCGCCTTTACACCAGTAATTCACGACCGTACTGGCGACAACTATTTCAAAGGTCAGAGGTCACCAGAAATGGCACGTCTGTTAGGATTCAAAATTATTTTCAATTTATCTGGATTTACAAGTTGTCACTGAGATTAGCATGTTGCATTCCCTGAATACCGAGGGTAGGTACTTCAGGGTAACAACGTTACAACTCAAATTGAACATGTCCGTTATAGGGGCAATAGAGAGACCTATTGCATTTGCTGGCAAATTATGGTATATTCTAATTGTTTATTGCAAATTCTTGCCCGAGGGCTAATTGCAGGAACAGAAGAAACATTTGGTATAAGAACAGACAATTAGTACACATAGAACTACTGATAGCTACTAAGAAACTAGTAAAAACTACTGGGTTTGACTTCTTTTTGAAGACAGAGAGAGACAAAGGATTATACTTTTTCTGTATTTTGTGGGTTTCGGGTGTTAAGAGGAGAGTAGTTTTCTTTTCATTTGTATACGTGTGAAAGTTTGGGTAGAATTTGGAGGCTACGTCAAAGAGTTCATTTCGTTCATTGCTATAGAGGGCTGTTTTTGTTATAGGGGCAATAGAGAGACTTATTGCATTTGCTGGCAAATGATGGTATATTACAGTGTATTCCTATGCAGTATCTTCATGAAACGTTTATTTTTACGCGCAAAAACGAAAAGGCCTTGAAACAAAAAGGAAAGAAGCGGCCGTTTCTATCCTTGTATCTGCTTGGAGATTACTGGTAGTGGTCGGCCTGCTACAAAGAAAACATCTACCGCAGGGTTCAAGGGTCACCAAAAATTGCATTTCTACCAGGTACTCGAATTAGCTTCAATTAATCTTGATTTACAAATTGTCACCAAGGTTAATCCAATACATTCCGCACATGCCCATTGACACAATGCCTAACCCTGCATATATGTGTGTGTGTGTGTGTGTGTGTGTGACGACTACACAGTACGGTTACTGGGGGTGACATAATGTGCATTTGCAGGCAAATGATGAATTCGTGCTGTGTACGGCGTAGCAACAATAGACTTGTAATAACATTGTAAGAAGAGTATAACTATGACATAGGCCACATTTTTGTGACTTGTACTAATTAGTTTGAGTTGTAAGGATTGAGAAATCGTGACCAATGTTTTCCTATAAACTTGATTGTTAGAAGAACCAATACGCCCTTCAATCTATTAATGACTGAAAAGTTATTGGAACAACTTGAAAACATTATAAACGCACGCCCCTGCTACGTTTATTATATGTAAATACTTCAAAAACAATACGTGTACGCTATGATACGTGCAGATACATGTAACAGTGTCTTCAATCTGATTACAGCACGATAGTAACACGTAAACAGCACGACAACAACAGTTTTATCTCTGGGAAAACAAGGGAAGGCATGTCCGGTTTTCTTCTTCGACACAAAACATTATATAAACATGGTGGCCCGGCCAAAGTCCTCTTGGCTTCCGTGGGTCAACCACCCCAAAGGCCTTGTTCAGGCCTCGAAATCAACTTTTTTTCTCTATTGTCCCAGCATTGTCCCGAAAATTTTTTGTCCCGAAAATTTTTTGTCCCGAAAATAAATTTCAATTATCCTGAACTGAGGATGAATTGTCCCATTTTTTTTGCTTAATATATAACTTCCAGGCAAACTACTAGTATATTGTTGCAGAGTTTGGGGGAAAATTTTGCAGAAATTTGAGGGACTTTTCTGGAGCCTAAAGCCAGAAAGCGTGCCTGATCAACTATTTTTTTTTCTAAAGAAGGCCTCAGACATCCTTATTAATTTTCTGTTGTCCCAAAAGTGTCCTAAAGAGACTTTTTAGTTGTCCCGGCCTAAATTTCATTGGCCAGTGGCCATCGGGACACCGTTAATTTCGAGCCCTGCAAAGTTGTTCTGTGTCCCTCAGAACTGAGTAAGCAGAAAATCTCCCCAGAGTGTTTACCTGTGGGCCTTAGTACAAACAAAGGGCTGGAGGTAAACAAAGCCGCGTGGATGCCGGACATACGGTGTTACATGTTGGTAGGGTAACAACAAGGTGTGACCAATGAGGTCTCACGGTCTTGTAAGTCTGTCGTGTTGTCGTCGGGAGGGAGTCGTGGCACTGTCGTGTTTTGTTTTAGATCGTATCAGAGTCGTACAAGTGTTGGCAACTTGAGAACGCTTGGCCTGTTCGTTGTCTTATCAGCGAGTCCTTTGAACCTCTTCAGTTAGAAGTAGAAGGGGAGGACCATTTCACACCTGGGAAAGGATCTGTTTTGCGAAAAATTGATTGCCATCGCTTCAATTTCTACACTTCTGAGGCAGTTGGAAGAAAAACGCAAATTACTCTAGAAAATATATTTGTGTCCGGCTATATAGCAAGTCCATCATATGATTAGTTTTCATGTAATTTTTAGTTGCGATGTAGTGAATATATCTTTGCTGTACACGTGTTATGGACAGTTGCACTCCATAATGTACTCTTCTGGGATAGGCTGTTATGCTTGACATTAAATACTTGATTAATCTGCACAGACAGTCCTTAATTAGATTGATGACTTTGCCCTCCGACTATACCGGAAGCCTGGCGACCTCTCGCCCCTCTCCGTACAACTCTTTGCCGAAGAAAACATCGCCCCTTTACCCGGAGACGGACCGGAGTTCGTACATGTCCGTCAAACATCTGGTTACCCCGGTGCAAACACGGGTCAGCATGGCAAAACATGTTTTACAAAGGGGGCGTCCATTTGTAGTAGGGAGTGGGGGTAAAAATGCCAACTTCACGTCAATGCCATTTTCCACATATCGCCATGAAATAATCTAATGTATCAATCGTATCAGTGTATGTATTTTTTGGTGTTGCAGAGTCACTGGTCGCCTTGGATACAACTATGACTGCAGTTATCTTAATACAGCGCTAGAGGGCGTTTTAGTCAGCATGTCTGTATTATTGTATTGCATGATGTGTCAATTTGCCCGTTTACAAAACGTTTACTGCTATATGAATGACTAACGCTGGTTCTATTGGATTCTATAGATTTTTGCTGAAGAACGTTACACGATGTTGTGGTCGTTTACACGAATGGCGATCACACGTGTTGCTCTCCACCACTCGAAGTGTCAATGAACCGTCCCTAATATGCAAATTGATCCCATGTAATGTTCCTACAGGATTTGCGGTAGTTCCCGTCCCTGGGGATCCGCGGAGCAGCGCGAGACATACCGGTGCGCTGGGATTTGTGTTCTTCCGGTGAGTGGAGGGTAAAAGCGCCGGCTGGGAAAACTTCACAACACCGCCTGAAAACATGGTGGACTGCGCTGGAGAGAGCGAGCTCACCATCGTCTCGGACTCGAGCTCCGAGTTCTCCGAAGACGACTTCGAGTACGGTGGTGGTGGAGCCGACGGGGTCCTTAAAGTCTCGGCCATGGGGAGCAAGGAGTTGGAAGAGCGGGACCGAAGTCTGAGACGCCGCTCTTCAAGGTATGTAACAGTATCTCCGCGCACCGGCATGGTTTTAGTTACGTTACATGCTCGACCGTGCGAGGGGAGAAGGCGCATTGTTGTTCGGCGTGTTCCCTGACGTTACCACCGCCGCAAAGGCCTCGACAAACATCGGTGGCATTCGGGGAATCCTCGTTCGTACATGTCCGTGAGCCTGTGTGTGTGTTGTGTGGTTATGGCAGGACTTTGTCAGGTTGACTTTGGGTTGTCAGTTGCCAAACCGCTGACATGTTGACACGACGTTCTATTACAAGGTCCCAGTGCTAGTATTGTGTTGTCTCTGGCTTGAGCCGTACCATATGTCGGGAAAACTATGCCGTGCGTCGTGGTTCCAACTAAGCTTACAACAACTACAAGTGGGCTTTTCGGTCAGGTTAGAGGAGCTAAAGAAAGGACTTTAGATCCTGACATGTAAATATACCGGCGTGCCTGCATGACTGCCCCAAGCCGGGTTTTCTTATTGAACACATATCCCATGACAGAAAAGAAATGCTGGAGGGTCTTCTACAGAAAAACCAGGTCATTCTGGATAATAGAACCGCCTGAAGCACATCTCACAAACTAAACAATGACCCAAGAGTTAGAATAACGATTTCAAAACAACCGTGGAACAGCTTTTCGTGAACATGCATTTTTTGGAGTTTGACAATGTAAGGGGTGTCGTGTTGAACACGTTTTGTTTCGAGCAAGGGGATTAGCGGATGTGTGCGTCTTTTCCACGGTTTACCACGTTCTGAGCCAACCGTGGCATGTTTTTTAAAGCCGTCTAAAAGAGTGTAGCTTCAGTGACGTCAACCAATAAAAAACTGGGTCTTCCGTTCAATAAGTAGCCAGAATGGACAAAACTGTTTGCGCATATGACAGGGCCAGAGCGAGTGTAAATGCTGTTAAAACGCTATGGCTTAAGTGCACCCCCTTATTACTTTATTTACTTGACTGTCAAACATCGGCAGAGCGTTGAAAACGGTCTGCATTGTTCTTGAGGGGCCGCAAGGGACCTCAGCATGCAAACATTGGGGATGGCAGGGCCGCAGAATTGATAAACGACACTTGGCCCGAGGAACATTTCAAAAAGTAGGGCAAGCATGTTTTGCATTTTACACATGTCATGATGCGAAACAATGGAAAGTCGCGTGTAGTAACCTCACTGCAACAATAATTCCTTTCAGTTTGTCAAGTTTTATGAAATGTTACTAGTTTGTATATACGAGGTATATGCTGTCCTCACTGGTTGAATGTTGGTGGAAGTGGGGAAAATTCATTTTTAGTGGCGGGGAGGGTTGTTTTTGGTTACGTTCTCGTCTTCTGTCTGGATTTTGTGTGTCAGTACAGTGTAACCGATACAGTTTGTTTCACATAATCCGGCTTTATATTAGTAAAACCCTTTATAATAATTCTAGTACTAGAACATAACATGGCAAGAGAAAAACGTGTCTTTTTCTCCGACAGTACGAAGCGAAACAATGTATCAATCCCCAAGCGTCACAGTATGAAAGGATATCATCAATTCCAGGCAAAGAGAAGACAGAATGGAGTATTGAGCTACTTTTGTTATTCCGCGGAAATGTCAGAAGTCGTCCCGTGGCTTTGATTTTAACTTTGCCGCGGGGGTCACCAGAGGTCAATGGATTCAGAAGGAGGTCGCTTTACAGTCAACACAACCTGACGGGGTACCGCGGCACGACTGAATACCTCTGCGGCTTCAAGTCGTGTTTTTGCGGTCAGACCACACGTTGTTCTGCCGATGAGGCTGGCTATTTATTCAAGAGTTCAGTGTAACGCGCGCGCAAACTGTGGAGTTGTAGCCTCTACCAGGCTTCGGCAAGCGGCTGGAAAGACTCAAACAGTAGAACTTGGCCAGATAGACAGATAACATGCCAGGGGAGTTGTTCCACTCCAGAACTGTACTCTTTAGGATCCAACTCGCCATGTTGTTTGTCGTCTATTTGGCCAGTTTCTACTTTTTCCAGCCGCTTCTGAAGCCTGGTAGAAGCTACATTTTTGTAGTAGAATCTATGTTCAGTAGAGCGAAAGGTAGTCTATTTTATAATGTTTTGTTGGTTGTTATGGTGGCTTCTTTTGAAATTATTCGTGTCTATTTCTTAAAGGGGCTAGCCGCCAAATTTCTAGTGAAGGTAAATGCAGTTTTAAAAGGTACATGAAGAAAACATGCAATTTTAGCCCCTGTCTCATTCATGAATGGAGCGTCCTCAGCACTTGAAAAGAAGTTCTTGATTCGTCCTCCACATGAGAACACTTCTGATGAGTGGTCCCTGGAGTATTCCGGTGGATGTTCGCATGGTATCGGCAATGTTTGACCCTGCAAAACCCTCCCCACGTGTTTCGCATTATCCCGGATTCTAGCCGAGACGGCCGGGTTGTACGGGGCAACACCGGGCGGGATCGGGGGAGGGGAGGGGGGCGAGTTCGTCTTACCGTCCGTCTGACAGAAAACATGCACTTGGCACCACTGAGAACCATGTTTTACGTTCAAGTTGCCACGTACTACATCTCTAAAGCAAAATCTGAGGAAACTTCTGCAAATTTAACCTACAGAAATAAACTTTTCGGTTGGTATGAAAGTCTGACAGAAAACATGCACTTGGCACCGCTCAGAATCATGTCTTACGTTGAAGTTGCTACGTACTACACCTCTCAAGCAAAATCTGAGGAAACTTGAGCAAATTTAACCTACAGAAATAAAATTTTCAGTTGGTATAAAACTCTGACAGAAAACATGCACTTGGCTCCGCTCAGAACCATGTTTTACGTTCAAGTTGCCACGTACTACAACTTTGAAGCAAAATCTGAGGAAAGTTCAGCACATTTGCCTTACAGAAATAAAATTTTCGGTTGGTATCACTATAAAGGTCTGTGCCATGTAACGCTTTTACGCTTTTTACCAAGAACAACGAGCGGTGCGTTCTCTTGATATTTGACAATTCCCACCACCCCAAGTTGGTATGATTGATAGCGTAATATTACGTTTTTCAACTTTTTGGGTGTGCTACAATTTCTTACCGTGCCTCAAAACACGCCGTAGGCCTAGAAACATGGTAAACTAATGGGCGAAGGCAAGGAAAAAGAACACATGGAACAAGTTATTCTAGTGTTTCTCCTGGGCGTAGATTGGAGGCGTGGCCAGGGCCATACAACACACACGCACATTGGAGAAACTGGAGCTACCTCCAACCTCACATGTGGTTTCAGTTTGGTCTTTTAAAGGGAAAACGGCTGAGGAATTTGCCCCTTTTAGCTTCTAACTCCCCGGTCGATTATTTTCTCACTTCGGGTCACACAGTACAGACACAACAGAATTAAAGACCAATCTTTCAGAAGAACGCGAGTTTTAAATGCTTCTTTTTTCTTTCTGACAAAGCCAGCGGTGGGGTTCCAATATCAGCTAGTGCAGCAATGACTGGGGGTCTACCATTTGTGTCTGAGGGGGGTTCTGACAAATTGGGGGGGGGGGCAGCATACAATTTATAAGGTTGAGGAAAAAATGAAATGTGTATTGAAAAAAACCTAGTGTGAGAAATTGAAAAACATTATTATTTTGTAGTGTAAGATATCCCTAAGTACCGTTTGTTTCTTTCGGACCCACTCGCAAACGAAAACGAAACATCCCCTAAGAACATAAGCGTGTCCACAATGCAGACATGTTCGCCAGACATGTACGCACGGTAAGACATCTGGCAAGTGTAAAGGTGGAGAGAACTAGAACATTAGTCTGCACTGTTCAAGACGTTAGCGTGAATTTGCCATGTCTTCACAGTTTCTTACGAGTTGACGCCCAAGGTCTAATACTATTTTTGCTCTAACAAATGCCATTTAAATTTGCGCTGCCTTTCTTCTGGTAGAATAAATGAAGCTTGATGTTTAATTTGAAAGACTTCATATTTCGAATTCCAATATTAAACTATGTAGTACATGCATTTACAACCAAGGAGTTAAAACTCAACTTGTATTCAACCCCCTTGGTACAATCAACAGTGTGTTCTGAGGCCATATATTTAGGAGTAGGAAAGAATGTAGAGGTGGATAAAACAAAATTAAGACATCAAGAAAAGATCGAAGAAAGAAAACATTTTCCCTTCACAATGAACTGACCAGGGTACCAACTTTTAAATACCGGAATCTCAGCATGAAATTGGACGGAAGAGAATTATAAAAGCCACAAATAAAAGCGCGAGACGAAACTATGCAAATCTTGAAGCATGTAATTACTCCTAGCCTCCCCCCGACGTCATCCAGCGACCCGAAACGTGACATCCCGCGGGAGACGGAGCGCTTGGAGCCCGCCCAATATTTGCACATACCTCGGAGGATCTCCTCCACATAACCTCATTCTGTGTAGAGACAAAACACTTGAAATCTATCCTCTTACACGCAAATGTAAAGAATCAATAATACCGTGGTACAAGAAGGGGGGGGGTACCTCCTGCAGATCACTTAACCTTAATCCTTCCAATACTTCTGAAGTTCAACTTGGACAGAAACTCTATCTAGTGTCGAAGTCTCCAAGCAGATGTACGAAGCTTTGAGAAGTGAAGAAAGGAAAACAGTAACTGAGGCACTTCATACATCTACTTGGCGAACATCGTTGAGTGAGATATACATTGCCATTAGCTAGCCTCTGCAAGGCTTCGGAGGCGGACGGAAAGAGTAGAAATTGGCCAAATAAACAGATAACATACAGCGACTAACAGACGAATTCCCCTGGCATGTTATCTGTCCATTTGACCAATTTCTACTCTTTTCAGCCACTTTTGAAGCCTGGAAGAGGCTAGTATTCGCTCTCTGGCGCTGTGCCCTAGTATATATATTCGACCTCCCAAGTTAGCTGTTTAGTCCTTGATTGTACCGACAACATGTGTAATTCCGGTATTCAGAGGCTTTGCCCCCCAAACATATTTCCCGTATGACTGTAACGTAACCCACACCATGTTTTTGCGAGGAGTACAACTTTTTCATAAACGTCTTCAAATGTTTATGACTTCTGTTTCCTTCTCTCCAAGCAGAAGTGAGGTAGGAAAATCGTACTCTCCAAGCAGAGGTTTGGGTTTGGGGTTATTTTTGACGTGTTTTTAGGCCTTTTTTATCGGGGTTTCTCTTTTCCACTGGATTTTTCTTTCACCAAACACAAGAGAAACCCCGATAACAAAAAGCCTAAAAACACGCTAAAAATAACCCCAAACCCAAACGTCTGCTTGGACAGTAGAAAAATCGTAATTTTTGTAAATGGCCATTCAAGGTGATGGATATTTGGTTGCTAGAAAAGCCGGTCGATCAGAAAATGATTTTCTACCCCTATTATCTGCTTGTACTTGTAGATGTGTTTTCTGTGTGTGTGTGCTATACCTTTTTATGTGTAAGATGCTCTCAGAACTTTTCTCAAAAAGGTTATGTTTTTACACGGTAGTGTTTGTTACGTAGCGACGGAACAACACAGCTGTCCGATGTTGTCTTGTTCCCTGCCCCGGTCGTCTGTGTTGGGGGATAGAACATCGCACAGAAGTTTGAATATTTGCCGTAAAATATGACCAACGCACACATAGTGGTGGGGTGACAATTGACAAGCCACATTCCGAGAGAAAGGGCTAGACAGTGTTCCAGATGTAGGTGGGAGAGAGGGGGGAGAAGGGGGGAGGGGGGAGTTGGTACCGGTAGCTACGGAAAGTAGGAGGAAAGAGCGATATCCACAGTAAATTTTGCCCCACATTTCAAGCTAGTTTACAGTATTCTATAAGGGGGAGGGGCGGCTTGGTACCGGTAGCTACGGAAAGTAGGAGGAAAGAGCGATATCCACAGTAAATTTTGCCCCCACATATTTCAAACGAGTTTGCTGTAGTCTATTTTTGGTGTCACAACGTTTCAATGAAACAATTGAAACTGACATCTCATCTCATACCGGCCCAGTTTTTGTTTGAACGTCTTTTTATTGCTTATCATACATAGTTCGCACGCTAGGTACTTGTTTAAACAAGTGTTAGTGACCGCAAACAATGTTTACATAAAAGACTTTTTTTTGTCTCTCCGACACTATACGTCTGTGCCGATAGGACGTTACGAACGACTTTGTGAAAAAAAAGCACCGTGGACTTATCGAAGGCATTATTTTTTTTTAAACGTTTATGTAACATGCGCACATTTCCTTAAGAAAAGTAGCCTCTTCTAGATAGTTCCCGGGAAGCGGCTGGAAAGAATAGAAATTGGCCAAATAGTGAAATACACAGAGCAGCAAACTGTACTCTCTAGCGGACCAATCCCCCTGGCATGTTATCTGTGTATTCGGCCAATTTCGAATATTTCTACTCTTTCCAGCCGCTTCCCAGAGCCTGGTAGAGGCTATCAGAAAATAGCCTCTACCAGACTTCGGGAGGCGGCTGGAAAGAGTACCCGGGTGCGGCAAAATGTTCTCTCCCAGCAGACAAACTCTCCTGGCATGTTATCTCTCTACTTGGCCGATTTCTACTCTTTCCAGCCTCTCCCGAAGCCTGGTAGAGGCTATGAGAAAACCACCCTTATACGTTGACATGTTACATGTCGCTAGCACGGATAAGACATTTTGAAGAACGATTTTGAAAAAAAACATCGTAGACTTATCGAAAGCTTTTAGTTTTAAAAACGTTGATGTAACATGCGCACATTTGCCTGAGAAAACCACCCCTATACAAACACACGTAGCCGGCCTAACGTTGACACGTTACATGTCTCCGTTGCCTGACTGCGAGTTCCGGCCATTAGACCCCCCATACCAACCTGTGGCCCGGCGGGTCAACAACAATATGGTGACATTTCAGCGGAGACGGTATGTTTACGGTGCGGTGGAGGCGACCTGACGCATTCTTGGCATTTTTACAACGATTGAACAGGTGGTTCTATCACGACGTGAGGGTACAGGAAGGACCGAGGGAGGTAGCCTTTTACCGGGCTTCGGAAGCGGCTGGAGAGAGTAGAAAATTGACAGGTAACGTGCTAAGGGAGTAGCGGACCAACTGAACTCCCCTGGCATGTTATCTGTCTATTTGGGCCAATTTCTACTCTTTTCAGCCGCTTGGGAAGCCTGGTAGAGGCTACGAGGGAGCCACATTATCAAAGCATGCGACATGATGCAATGATGGAAGGAACGTGTGAAGGAAAAAAGCATCTGAGGATAGAAAGAGGGGGTCTGAGCGCGGGCTACGGTGCCTAAATGCCCCTGGAGTTATTCCCATGTTTGGCAAAATTTTACTGTTTTTGAACCCACGTTGTTCGTAAGTCTGGCGGAGGCTAAACTAAAATATACTGTCAGTCTGAACAATGCACACATTCAAACTGTTTCTTCACTACGTCAACGTGAACATGCATGTTCATGTTTTCCATCAAGCCTGGGTCTGTGACGTTGTGGCACGGGCACTTGGGACATGTTTCACATCAAGCCAACACGCAGTTTTCCTAGTTTGTTTTTCACGGTGCCTTGTCACCCCATAATCCATTTGGGACGGCGGGCGGCACGAAGAAAAATGATTTGATGATAAACAACTGTGTCAGATTTCCAGGGGAGGAAGCCAAAAGATATATCACAACGCCGTCTTTCCTGTTTCCACCCTCCCAATGTCACGAACCAAATGGCAGAATTCTGCTCTTGAAGCGAACTTGAACTAAACTAGTGTGTTATGAGTTCGCTCATTGTACCTTACAGGCGGAAGGTACAATGTAAAAGCTGTCATCAAAAGGATGACGTATAACGGGCGATATCCCGTGTTTAATGGATTTGAGGTTTACCTTGGCGAGATGGCACGCCATGCCGGGGTCACAACTTTGGGCCACAGCAAGTAAATTTAATGGATGACATCCTCCGCAGCCTCCAAATCTAATGCGAGCGGGCGAAAAAAAACCAAGGCGGGCCGAAAAAAACAAGGTTCCTACATTTTAAGATTTTGACTCAACCATTATAGAAATGGTTTTGATTCAGTAGGAACATCACACATACACAACCAGCATTATATGTCACTGCATCAAAGTCAGAAACGAAACATTAAATCAGAGCTTTTTCTTGTCTCCTCTCTTCATAGTTATCTGCCATTCACCTTCCGGCATGGCAACAGACATCTTTGCCCGTTTTCGGCATGTTTTGATCACTATCAGAAGGCAACAAAATTTCTTGTTTTTTCCCCCCAAAATCAGGCGAAAATTAATGCGCACGCTGATGTCATCCATAAAAATTGCTTGCTGTGGCCTTACAGAAGTTGGCACCGTTACAACAACTTTTGGCTCGCACCGGGCATTTCTGAGGACTTCCCTGGAAGTACCCCGGGGTGGCCTAAGGGCAAATACCGGTATCTTCCCCTGGTTAGATAGCGAGCCGGCGTCTCTGAACCTAGACGGGAAAATTTGGCTCCAGTCGCCAAAGGATCGTCATATTGCTTGAAGATTTCCGTAGATTTAGTTTGTGCTGATCCTACCAATACCCTCACAGTACTTTCTTCTTATATAAACCATGTACATGTTAACATGTAAGTACAAAAGTAAATCAAGGTATTTGAGCATCTATATAACGCCAAGTAGTTGTACATGTGTATTTTATGTATGTAACTTTACCTTCGCAGGAGGCAAACACTTTTTTTTTCTATTTCTTCTTTCTCTTCTCCTAATAAGGTCAATGACGTCTGTCATGATCACCATTGGGAACTAGTGTTAGGTTACATCATGTTGCAATTTTATAGCAGGAGGGATTGAGACTCCTGTCACCACATATACGAATGTGTTTGAGAAAGAATTAACAGAGCAGACAATGCATTTGCTTTACAAATGTTACGTTTCTAGTTTTCATATATTTGTAATATTGGTGAAATTAACTTATGATATGTTTTTTTTTCTCTTTTTTTAGGCGCCGGAATTCGGACAGGGTCCGTCACAAGCGGCAGGTGATGCAAGACATGGCCCGACCGCTGAAACAGTGGCTCATCAAACACAGAGACAACCCTTATCCAACCAAAACAGAGAAGATCCTGCTGGCTCTGACGTCACAGATGACGTTGGTACAGGTGGGTCAATGACCTGAACCAGACACCTGTCACTAGGGGATGTGTTATATTACATCATGAAATAGTGTTAGGTTACATCATGAACTAGTGTTAGGTTACACTATGAACTAGTGTTAGGTTACATCATGAACTAGTGTTAGGTTACATCATGAAATAGTGTTAGGTTACATCATGAACTAGTGTTAGGTTACACTATGAACTAGTGTTAGGTTACATCATGAACTAGTGTTAGGTTACACCATTGAACTAGTGTTAGGTTACATCATGAACTAGTGTTAGGTTACACCATGAACTAGTGTTAGGTTACATCATGAACTAGTGTTAGGTTACACCATGAACTAGTGTTAGGTTACATCATGAACTAGTGTTAGGTTACATCATGAACTAGTGTTAGGTTACATCGTGAACTAGTGTTAGGTTACATCATGAACTAGTGTTAGGTTACATCATGTGCCAAACCTTTTGATTATTTTTGACTGACAGGCATTGAATGCACTATCGTAACACACGTACAGACATGACACGCACTTAACCGTTAGCCTATGTACTTACCGACTTGTAAGTGATCGTATCAAAAATAAACACTTCATTTTGACTCTTTGGACTACACAATTGTTTATGTAGGCGTGCCTTTTTTTAAGTACAATAGTCTCCATTTTATCGAACTCAAATATTTTCTCTCAAATATTTTCTCTCAATTACTAAAGAGAAGTGTATGTTGATGTCATTGAACCTAATATAGCGTGTTTGGTAACTTATACAAACGTCGTCTGCGTTCTTTTCTGACCGTTTAAGTCTCCAGCCTAGTCTCCAACCAGTCTCCATTTTATAGAACGCAAATATTTTCCCTCAGTTACTGAAGAGAAGTACATACTGATGTCATTGAACCAAATATAGCGTGTTTAGTAACCTACAAACGTCGTCTGCGTTCTTTCCCGCCATTTTTTAGGTCTCCAACTGGTTTGCCAACGCCAGGCGGCGGCTGAAGAACACGGTGCGAGACCCTGACCTGAGCTGGGGCATGCGCATTAAGCTGTACAACAAGCACGTGCAGGGAAACGCGGAACTGTTGTCCATCAGCTCTAACGACGACAGCGACGAGGACGACTTCGGGGATTCTGATTACGGCGATCATGGTAACCGGATTGTTGCCTTTTCTTGTGAGGTGTTAGATTGGTAGCCTGTACCATGCGTCTAGCCTCAACCAGGCTTCGGGAGACGCGGCTGGAAAGAGTATAAATCGGTAAAAAAAACGGGTGCGGCAAAATGTTCTCCCTAGCAGACCAACTCCCTCGGCGTTTTTGTATTTGACCGATTTCTACTAATTCCAGCCGTCTTCCGAAGCCTGGTAGAGGCTACCATGCTTAGAAGCGCCTGGAAAAGCAGAATCACTACGAGCCTCGTTTTCGTGCAAGATCTCGTTCGCGTTGCGCTGTGCTCTCGCGGGACCACTTTTCAAAATGGCCGCGAAGATTGGAATTATTACCGCCAAATAGACAAATTACATGCCATGGGAGTACAATTTGCCCCTCCCTTTTTACTCTCTCCAGCCGCTTCTGAATAGCCTCTAACAGGCTTCGGGAAGCGGCTGGAAAGCGAAGCAATTTCTACTCTTTCCAGCCGCTTCCCGAAGCCTTGTAGAATGTAAGGCTAGATTCTAAAGCTTGGTAGGGTTATTCTATGCATAGAAGAATTGCGAACATGTCGTTTGTTAGACTATTGCGATCTGAAAGTTAACTTCTTCTTCTTTCTTCTTTTATTTTCAAGATGGCGGCAGCAAGGGAAATCTCCTAATCCCACGTTTCAAAGGAGACAGAGACGAGAACAGCAACAACTCGTCCCTGCCCCCCTCCCCCACTGAGGACTTGGACCACAGGTACGCCATCCCCAGGTACCCGGACAGTGGCGAGGAGCCGAGTTCCCCCACCAAGTACAAGCACAGTATCCTCCAGAGGTACCTCAACGACTCCTTCCACAGCACCGCGCGCAGGAACGACAAATCCGGGTCCCTCAGCTCCCAAGATTACGAAGACCTGTCGGAATCGGCTCGGAGCATCCGATCGAGCTTCGGGAGTGACGGAAGTGTCCGATTAAGCCCGACGAGTGAAGGCGAGCCGCGATCATCCCCGGTGTTTGAAGACGAGGAGTTGCACTGGAAGGAAATTGACGCGGCCATGGCGCTTACAAGTCTCGCGAGAAGTCGCGGCTGTCCGTGAGGATGACGTCACGTGTGACTGACGACTTGCTGACATGTCTGACATCATCAAATCACCGACTGATGGTCGAATTATGTAAATACAACGAACTGGTCTAGAAGACGACTACGCAGCTCGCGGACCAATGACGATTCTTGCTTGAAGAGCCACTGCGACTCTTGTCAGAGACTGTCGAATGCTGATGTCATTTTGAAGAAGCAAGACTTCATTCCAAGGGGATATGTGGGGAACAAATGATCTTTCTGGGCTTTCTTTTTTCCACTGGACGACCTACCTATCCGGGATCTGTGGAAACGTGGGACCAAATTTGAGCAGGAGCAGAGCAAATAACGTGCCTTCATCATCATTAGAACCACTAGGATTGTATTCTGATGAAAGAATGTCTATGATTGGACACAAGTTTGAACCGAGAGTGAGAGAGCAGCGGTGATTGGTGGGTGACTTAACGAGGAACAAGTTTGCTGTTTGAAAAAACGATGAACTGCGATGCGATTGGTTGTTTGGCGAGCGTTCCGTGACGTGGCTGTTTGTCATTGGTTACTGAGAGGACAAGGTGCAAGGAATGATGGAAAATCGGCCGCGCTGGCTCGCGACCAAGACGTAAAAACACCAACACAGAAGAATGTTTTTTCTCAGCCAAGTCTTCCAGATCAAACCATTTTCAAACTCTAATATCTTTCCAGGGGGATTTTTATAAAGTACTAACAACATTTTCTCGCCTACTTGACAACTACTGGCTGCCTATGTACAATGCTCGTCGCTTGACTACAATATGATATTCTCTTTTCGCAACCTTTGTTGAAGTTCATCTTTTTTCCTTGTATATCCTCGACGACTACTGCCGATTGAGCAGTTCATACATATAGGTATATATCAGTACTTGGTCAAAACCACTAGAAAGATGGAGGGGTGGATGGATCAGTAATAAAAAGAAGTACGGCTAAATTTTACATCTACCTGTCACGAGGGATGGTTGGTATCTCCCAGAACGATTCTCGCTTTGTTTCTTGTTTTCGTTACTTCGTTTGAATTTCTCTTTTTAAGTCGTGTAATTTTCGCCGAGATTATTTATGTTTCATTGATATTTTACAAGATGTTCTCTGACGTGTTTTTTGTGTCTCATGTAAACAGCGAAATAAATATTGGGGTTTGAGTTCAGTTTATATGATGCTGAGCACTGTGTCTTTTTTTTCGTTTTTTTTTTCTTTTCTTTTTTTTCCTCTTCTTAATTCATTTTGATCAAATATAAATGACGTACGAAGACTACAAAAGCTTGTAAAGGTAGATAAAGAAGTTCCATAGCATTTTTCAGGCCGTAGGGGCAGTGGGTTGTTGCCTTAACACGGTATGAGAAGACGGAGCCTATCCCTCTCCTTCAACTACCTTTTACCTCCCCAACCGAAGTGAGGCACCCAATTTACACCTGGGTAGAGTGAAGAAAGTCATGTAAAAAGTGTCTTTCCTAGAGGCATAACGTCTTGCCAGAAACAAGAGATTGATGAAATTTAAGAGCTAAAAAGATGTTGTTTGTAAACAGTTTGTAAACCACAAATGTGACCAATGGCGAGGTTGCTATAGTTAATCTCATTAAAACGTGTACACACTTCCGGGCACCTTTGACCCGGTTCTTACGTCACGAGGGCCGGTTGTGTTGTCCACTTGTAAACACTAGGAACACCGAATTTCATGGAAATTTTGGTGAGTCAGTTTTCCGTCTTATTCTACCTTCGAGGCCTACTGATGTAGACTGTATGTTGTCTTCGCCATTGCCTGTAAGATTAATCTCCAAGCAGATGTTTGGGTTATTTTTAGCATGTTTTTAGATTTTATTATCGGGGTTTCTTTTTTGCACTGGAATTTTTTTAGGGGGGGGGGACTGAAACAAAATTCTAGTGCAAACAAGAAACCCCGACAAAAAATGTCTAAAAACATGCTAAAAATAATCCCAAACCTCTGCTTGGAGAGTATGTAAGATGTCATTTTATATAATAATTTTAATGAGAAGGATACCATACAAAGTAAGGCAGTCAAAGATGGCGATCTTACTAAGTCAAAAACACAGACACATAACTTACACACTAGAATTAGAAACAAAACTACCTACGCACTTCACTCCTAGCTTTTGTGGTTTGGACATGAACACTTGCTTCAACAAGGGTGTATTTTTCAAAGGGCCATTAAACATCAATTGTAAGGGCCATAAAACAAAATTAGAAGGAAGTTAATATGAAGAAACATGTGCCTTTCATTACTTTTACGTCTTGTGAGGAAGTATCGTTTCCATATGAATTAAAAGCCTTTCAAACGACTTTTAAAAAATCCAACAATTTACACCAGACGTCTCGGGCAATTCGTCACCAGCTGAGCAGTCTGGACTGTGTCCCGGTAACATGCATACCACACGTGTACCATGTTTGTCGCTGCTAACACTGTTAGCTGTAACATGCCGTCTGAGGGGTATCCACGTTGCGGGGCTCGGGCTGGGTGTGTGCCCCATATGTGTGCAGCACTAGGGAGAGAAATGAATGACCTTCTCGGTATGTTAGGCCACACCAAATAAATTTTATGGATGACATCCGCGCGCGCATTGATTTTGGCCTGTTCCTAGAAAAAAAAAAAGAAATTCCGCTTCCTGTAACTATGACCAAAGAGTCACGACGGTGCCCCAAATCGTTAGATTGACGTGAAACCCGTAACGCGAAATATGAGCACAAGAAACAGGACAGGACAACAACTGCTGTTCCACCTGATTTATTGCTATTTTGATGATGAATAAAAGACTTCTTGCTTGTTACACTGTGTCACCTCATTCAATTTGTGTCCTAACATTTGTCGTCTCTTAGTATTTTACTGATCTAGGCCTCTTGTTTTTTAGGGCCCTTCTTGTTTTTTTTTCGCCCTCTCGTATTAGATTTAGGGTCTCCAAAGGACGTCATCCATAAAATTTACTTGGTGTGGCCTTAGCCCCCTTGGCAGAGGACGCAACGTTGGAAATAGAACCCCCAGGCTGGAGTGATCATGAAAATGTGGTTTCACTCAAAACCACACGCTGGGAAGATATACCACCGAGGTACTGTCAAAGCGACATATTGAAGAAATGTGCACTTGAGTTGGCCTGGGTCAAACTTCGACATTTTCTAGTGTAACACTAGCCTCCTTGCTGTGTACAGCGTTTTGGTGATTTTTGTGCCATTTGGCATGTACGTGTTATATAAATCATGGAGTTTGAGACAAGATGTGGTGAAATGAAATGTTCTTTGCCCTTTCAAATTTGTTTATACAAATTAACAGGTTTATAAACACATTTCACTCTCAAATGATACACGTCAACGTGGGCTAGTCTGGTAGATCTTTTTTTTTTTTGCGGAGAGGACGAAAGAGACTCGACAGCAAAATAGGTTTGGATATTATATATCATGTTTTATAGGCCCGGCCGAAGGGTCTAGACCTTTTAGCCGAGTGGTTTGAGCGTCGGATTTTGAAGCTGGTGCTTGGGAGTTCGTGGGTTCGAACCCCGGCCCGGGACCAGGGGTTTCTATCTGTTTCTACTCGCTCCTACTGTTTCTTACACATGCTAGTGTCCACGTCATCCGTGACTAGTAAATCGGTTGATCATACGCAGGTATCAAGGAGAAGTCTAAACATCTCGCGGGAATTGGCGAGACTCTCTCATTTTGCTCCTTGTTCGGTCGTGTTATAACTATGGCTTCTTGGAATTCATATCAGATATATCTCGTTTAGACGTTATGCAAGAGGCCTGATTTTAAAACCTTAGCGAGTGGGGAATGTAGTATAGAGTAGATTCTAAGAGCCACTACATCGTAATAGCCTCTACCAGGCTTCGGGAGGTGGCTGAAAAGAGTAGAAATCGGTCAAATAGAGAGATAACATGCCGAGGGAGTTGGTTTACTAGAGAGTACATTTTGCCGCAAACTGTTCTCTCCAGCAGACCAGCTCCCCCGGCATGCTATCTCTCTATTTGGCCGATTTGTACTCTTTCTAGCCGCCTTCAGTAGCCTGGTAGAGGCTATTATCGTAATGTTATCGCGTAGTTACTTCAAAGATCTTCAAAAACTAGTAGCGCTTTCAGAGTCAAGCAAGGAGGTTAAAAAGGGGCATTGCTCTCGTTGTGTCCACCACATGTAGAGCTAAGCAAATGACCTTCCTTGAACTGAGTAGGAGGGATGTAGACACCCCAGCTGAAGGAAGAACTTGTCCTGACGCCCTTTGGGTAGCCTGGTGCCCAGTCGATCGCGGTTTGGGCAGGTTTTCTTCAGGGCTGCTGGAGCTCTTCCCCGTCCGACTCGGCTAGGTTCCCGTCGTGAAAAAACCTACCGGGGGAACCTAGCTGAGTCAGGCGGGGAAGAGCTCCTACAGTCCCGAAGAAAATCCACCCCAACCACGATAGACTGGACACCAGGCTACCGTTTGGGAAGATGTTCACGGGAGTAACACGGTAGTGGGAGATGTGTCACGGGGTGGCCATGTTTATTTTACCAGGGAATTCCTGTCGAACATGCCTGTCAGCGTGAGACGACGCCTTGTGCCCGTCCAGGGATGGCTTAACCTTGCGGATTGCACTTCACCGCCCGCCACCAAACTGTTTAGAAAGAACGCTCGTCTGGAAATCAGACGATACTTGGAAATGTAAACATTGTCTCATCTGTGACATGGTCGGGGATCGACCATTTCTTCATTGTAGGGGAGAGTAGAAAAGCCATACCTCCTCCCACTTATTAAATCTACCCCCCCCTAGCCTTTTTATAGGATAGATGCAAAAGAAAATATTCTGATAGACTAGTGTATTAAATGTTGAAGATTCTTTTTGTTGAGTGTATGATTTTATGGGTTTTGAGTGAAAATGAACCAAAAGAGCAACTTGGAAAATTGCATGAGCAAGTAATTTTTATCAAATGAATCAAAACCTTTGACAGTTAATTCAAGGTCATTCAAGTTGCCGCATTCAAGTTTTTAATATAGCCCTGCTCTCGTCCATTCCTAAAACGGTTTCTGGCACGGTTCTGCGTTAGAACCACATGTTTTAGCACACATCAGTGTTTGGACAATCTCTGAAACGTCGAGGGAGAAGCTAAACTTGACTGTTTGGCTTTGTTTGGGGGTCCGTGTCACGTTGAATGGCGAAGGCCTGTATTAAAAGAAACACAGCTATGCAGCTGTGTTTACTCTCCTGGGCTGGGGTGGGGAATTATAATCAGTGAAGACTTGTGCATATCCAGGGGAACAGAAGGGGGAGGGGGGCGCTGAGAACGTCATTGCAAGTTGTAGTTAGGGTATTACGATTTTTTATTCAAAAACTTATTATATGATAGCCTATTGATGTTTTGTTTCGCCGTGCATAGACAAAACAGTCTCATATTAAAGGCAGAAAATGCAAAACAGACTAAGATAGTCTTCCGTCTTCTCTTGTGTATTCAAGACTGTAGTAATTCATTGAGTGTTATCAGGTACAGGTACTCGAATTTGACCTTAGCTATAGGTTTAATACATACCGAATCCAGATGCAGAAAGCGTCTGATTTTCTGTCTTTTGTTGCTGTATGTTATCTTTATGGACGTAAGGGGTGACACACTAGTTTTGTTTCAAGAGTTTGACATACAACATTTATTTACGCAAAGGCGGATCCTTGTCAACCAAGAACCCATGGAACCGCCCCCTCCCCCTAAAATGCATCATTTTGTGAAGTACTGTCGTACCCGAACCTGACAACTAATCTGTCAACGTCACCATCGGGCAGATCTCGCGAGATTTGATCCAGCCCAGGCGGCCATGATGGTAGGCACCTGCACTGCGTTCGGTCTGCCTTCAACAATTAGGTCATGTCTCAGTGAGTTATTGTGTCTCGTTCATTATACTTCCCCACAAAGTTGAACCCGTACGTTTAAAAGGAGGCCTGCATGCCCTTTTCCGTAAGACGTAATCAAGCCTTTTCACTTACTAAATTTTAGCCTTCGTAATCCGTAGGCAGCCTCCCCAAAAATCAACGTAACTTGTAATTATTAGCCACAAAGCGTAAAGTCGTAATATCAAGTTTAACGCAATTCGTAATCGGCGGCAAAAATTTTGCGTTATTCGTAATCACTACCACCCCCCCCCCTTCATTTCAATGCAGTTTCTGCGCGGCAAAATGAAATATCTTGGATGA